CTACAGGAAAAACCATAGCTTTGACTATTCGGACCTTTGTTGACAAGGTGATGTCTCTGCTTTTTAAGATGCTGTCAAGGTTTGTCATCACTTTCCTCCTAAGAAGCAGTCATCTTTTAATTTCGTGGCTGCTGTCATCATCTTCAGTGGTCATGGAGCCCAAGAAAATAAAATCTGATACTGCCTCCATATCTTCCCCTTCTATTTGCCAGGAGATGATGGGACCAGTGGCTATGATCTTGTTTTTTTGATGCTGAGCTTCAGACCATTTTTTCCCTCCCCTCTTTCACCCTCATTAAGAGCTTATTTAATTCATCCTTTCTGCCATCAGAGCAGTATCATCTGCATATCCGAGGTTGTTGATATTTCTTCCGGCAATCTTAATTCTGGCTTGGGATTCCTCCAGTCCCGCCTTTCGCATGATGTATTCTGCATATAAGTTAAATAAGCTGGGGGACAATATACAGCCCTGTCGTACTCCTTTCCCAATTTTGAACCAATCAGTTGTTCCATATCCAGTTCTAACTGTTCCTTCCTGTCCCACATACAGATTTCTCAGGAGATAGATAAGGTGATCAGGCACTCCCATTTCTTTAAGGACTTGCCATAGGTTGCTATGCTCCATGCATTCAAAGGCTTTAGCAAAGTCAATGAAGCAGAAGGAGATGTTTTTTCTGGAACTCTCTGGCTTTTTCCATAATCCAGCGCATGTTAGCAATTTGGTCTCTAGTTCCTCTGCCCCTTCGAAATCCAGCTTGTACTTCTGGGAGTTCTCGGTCCACATACTGCTGAAACCTACCTTGCAGGGTTCTGAGCATAACCTTGCTAGTGTGTGAAATTAGTGCAATTGTATGGTAGTTGGAGCATTCTTTGGCACTATCCTTCTTTGGGATTGAGATGTAGACTGATCTTTTACAATCCTCTGGTCACTGCCGAGTTTTCCAAATTTGTGGCATATTGAGTGTAGCACCTTAATAGTGTCATCTTTTAAGATTTTAAATAGTTCAACTGGAATGCCATCACCTCCACTGGCCTTGTTGTTAGCCATGCTTTCTAAGGCCCACTTGACTTCGCTCTACAGGATGTCTGGCTCAAAGTTAGCAACCACACTCTCTGGGTCGTCTGGGACATCCAGATCTTTCTGGTATAATTCCTCTGTGTATTCTTGTCCAGGACTTCCAGATCTTGCCACCTCTTCTTGATGTCTTCTGTTTGTCCTTTATAATGTCCATATTTACACAAAATAGTCCTTTAATATCTCAAATTTTCCTGAACAGATCTCTGGTTCTTCCTTTTCTGTTATTTTCCTCTATTTCTTTGCATTGTTCATTTAAGAAGGCCCTCTTGTCTCTCCTTGCTATTCTTTGGAAGTCTGTATTCAATTTTCTGTAACTTTCCCTATCAAAAAACAACCCCTCCAAAAAGTCTGACTGGCTTCCCTACAACTCATACCCAAGCAGGTGGCCCAGAATCTTATCTTACCCCTGCTGCAGTGGGTAGGGAGGTGATGACAACTTCCTAAAAGGCTCAATGGGGCATTTCTTTCAAAAAGGTTAAGAACCACTGATCTAAAGTACGACATCTCCTGAGTGCTCCAGTGTAGCTCAGAGCTTGGAATGTTAAATCTGAAAATTAATTTGTTACTGCAGAAACATAATCCTATTAAAATGAAGCCAAGTTTACTCTTTAATAAACCTGTTGTCCTTTGAAAGTGCCACACAACTCTTTGCAACAAGTCTAAGAGTATGGTTACATTAGGAATACAACTATATTTGAATCAGGTTTAGTGTGTTTAAAATCAATTTAGAAAAAGGTGACTACACACCACGCATGGAAGGTTGGTGTGAGGGTTCAGGTTCAGGCTCCCACTTTTCTTCAAATAAATCATGAGACTTGCAAGGTTTTGAAATCAGTGTAACTTTTATTGCTGTATTTAACAAGAAAACGGTGTCTGCAAAAGCATTCCAACATCTATCACCTTCCAACAATGGGTGGGCAAGGGGTTTCCAATCTTCTCCTTTAAAAGAGTTCCCCCCCTAGAGTTCCACTGCAGACCATATGTGTTAAGAATGAATATTCAATATCACATCTTCACCACCCCAGAAAACCTGAGAGGCTTCTAGAATATGCTGGAGAGAAAAGAACTCCCAGCCAGCAAATCAAGTAAAATGAGGCTGGTGGGACTTCCAGCCAAAGAACAGAAATGATGCTCTTCTCTCTGGTCCACACCAGCAGCATTTAAAGATTCAAGATGCAGCTCCAACCCTTCATCTTCATTCGTGTTTCCCAATCCCACTTTTCCACTGACTGACCTCAGGTTGGAGATGGTATATGATGGTGGCATTAGGCACTGTTCTGTTCTATACCAGTTGTACAATGCTATCATCATCACACAAAGAACAAGTTATCACAGCTAGGGTTTTGCTGAGAATGTGGGGCAATTATTGGCATTGGAGCAGATTCAGTTGGTGCATTAAGGTCGGTGAGCGTATATCCTTCTTTTGGGAGATCCCTTTAAGGGATCCATCAGAAGCCAGCCCAACTTGTGGTTGGGGATGCAGACAGATCACACAGTGGTTGTGTACCTTGATTGCACCTCTACTCCTGCCATACCTTTTGTCCAGCAGCTGGCTTGATATGGTTAATCCATTGGCAGCTGGGTCATCTGATTCCTGCCTTTTGTTGTGCCAGTTTTGTTTAGGTTTAACCAATAGAACTGTAGTCTTTTATTTTGGCTTGTGTGGTGTATTTTATTTTAAAGCTTTGCTATGATTTATTGCAGCCTGGATCCCCAAAACCCCGCATCTGTGAGCAACAGCAACTGTTTTTAGCCATAGTGAGGAATTTGTGTTTGGAAGTGTCCAAAACATGATTGTTTTCAATTTTCTTGCTTAAGATATCAGGGGAGTATCTGGAAGAGTGTCTTTTCATATATATAATCAAGTAGGAGCAAAGCTATTATTTTAGTTAGATCAGGCCTATATAACAGCCCCCACCTGCCCCATCAAGCTAAATGCAACCCACCAACCAAGAACAGTGAACTGACAATCCCCATTTTTGCAAGCTGTGAAAATAATGTTTACTGTATACCCAATGGATTATGTAGATGGTGGTGAACTGAAATAATCTTGGTGGATTACATGCTCTGTAGGGCACAGGTAGATATCTTAGATGTCTCAGCTCTTATCTTCATGGTTAAATGGAAGTTACCCATCAAAGATATCATTTATAAATAACAAGTTACTTGCTAATTATCACTTTTTGCAATTACTGAAACACAATTAAGCTACATTATGGTAGAATCCAAGAGATAGATAACCTTTCTCTTTTAGCTGCTTTAATATACCGTATTTTTCTGTTTATAAGATGTCCCAAAGTATAAGATGAACCCCTTTTTCTAACCCCGAATTAGAAAAAGCAGGGATCAAAGGGCTCCCTTTTTGCTAAGGCAAGGAAAGCATCCGTCACAGTGACTGCCGCTTTTCCTCACCTTTTGAGAAGGCACAGAGTTTAGCAAAAAGGAAAGGGAGCAAGGGTTCCCCTTCCATTTTTGCTAAAGCCCCGTGCCTTCGCAAAAGGCAGTGGTAAAGAGCTGCCTTCTGTGTATAAAATGACCCTCATTTTTTTCTCAAATTATTAAAGAAAAAAGTGTCATTTTATACATGGAAAAATATGGTATTTTAAATGTGTGTCCTCAAAAAGGAGGAGAATCACATGGTTCACTTGCTGGTTTATGCTGTGCCATTTGCTCTGTTTTGGATATTGAGATTATGGTGAGGTGGATGAGATGAAAATATTTCTGTCCCAGAAGCCATGAGTATGCAGCATTCAGAGGTTTCTAAAGTAAATAAAAGATAACTATTTTAATTCACTTTGAGAAATGGACTCTATTTCTAAAAAATATTGTCATTAACTATGTTTGTGAGTAAGTATGTTTGTTGGCTTGGGACAAGAAATGTAAGTCATAACTTCAATGCTCTGTTCTAGACTCGGTTGGACTTCAGTTATTATCATCCTTCACCGTCAGCTACCTTGGATGGGGTTAACGGGACCTGGAGTCCAGCATTATCTGAAAATCCACGGGTACCCTACCCCACCACCGGCCAAACCTCTGTTCATTTTGGTGTAGTGTATAGTTATGTCTGCGGAAGTGTGCAGGGCATGACACCCAGTCTGTATTGCACAATCTGATTTCCCAATTGGTTGTGCAGTTCCCATCAGAACTGTTGCATGACATGCATGCATAACTACCTCATAGACTGCACTTACAACCTGCTGTGACTTTGCCTATAGCTTTAACAACTTCATATTATGCACGCAACAGGATTACAGCCATTGCGTCTCAGAGCATTTAGTCTAGTTATTAATTTTTTTTAGTATCCCTACTAGATACTATCTTATGTTACGTTATACTAGAAATTCTCTAGCTTGAATAGGTTCTCTATGTGCTACATTGTAAAGTTTCTATACCACAATTAAATGTCTGCCTGATTGCTACTCTAATTTGCATTGTGAGATAAAGGAGGCAGCTGAATGTAACATCTGAGCTGGGTACTCTGTGTATTTGCAGAGATTCAGTTCAGGCAATATTAACTCCTCTATCAAGAGGACATGTTGTAAATTAGGTCTCATTGTTCCTTAGTCTCTGCTTTGACTGACAGAGTCATCACATACGTTATGTCATGTATGCCAGAACTGGAGAGGTATGCATGTACTCCTTTGCCACACAGATAGAAGCAGCAACCTGGTAGGTTTGTGAGCTGTGATTTCACAGGATAATCTACCTTTTTCTTAGCTGAAATATAAATACATAAAAAAGAAGCAATGCTTTTCTACAGTTTGTTGCTGATAACCAAGAATCTAGTCATACAATGAAACATTTTTAAATGAAATTTAAAATAGGAGGAATCATCCTCACTATCTATGGGACAACAGTTCTAGTCTGAACAGGATACTGAAAATCCATCAATTGCAAATTTCACATTAAGACTTCCTATTACCTTTGTAAACATGGGTTTTCCATGCTGAGTGACCATGGCGCACTGATCACAGTCCATTGTGATGGAGGCGTTGTGGTATGATTCTTTTGAGTGCTTGAGGATGTAATACAGGTCTGTCACACCTCCTTCAAATACAGTGCTAAAATAACGAGGAATGAGGGTTCTTCCAATTGCTGTTGGGAAAATACAAAGCAAATGAGCAAATGCTACTAGATAGAACTCTGTAAGTTATGTATACTTGTTCACTTACTACAACAATGATCAGCTTAGGCTAGTGAAACCAGTAAAGATACAGTGGTGCAGGCTCAAGGCATGGAGGTTAGCATCTGAATCTATGTGCATCCATAAATGCGCACATATCCACAATCTATTTCCTTCCTTGGAGGAAATAGAGGGGTTTTTGTTTTGTTTTTTACCAGCGCTCTCTCTCATCTTTTTTAAAAAATCAGTACACTAGTATCTCGGTTTATGAAATGAATACATTCTCCGGAATGTTACGTAATGTGGAAATTTCATAAATGAAACGTGGATTGCCATAGCAATGGCAGCAACAAACGTCCAGGCATGGGGAACCTTCCTTTGCAAATAAAAAAAAATGGGGGGGGCATAAACTAAGGCATTATTTTCAACAGATTTTCATTTGTAAACCAGAAATTATGTAAAACAAGGCATATGTAAACCGAGGCACTACTGTATATGAGAAAAAGCTCTCAATTCCTTACACACAGACATATGTAATGAACTGAAACATTACGTAAAATTGATGAGAAATTGGTGATACATTTTGCAGATGAAGAAGCTGCACTTAGGGCCTTAAGACGGGTGCATGTAATATACATACAAGCATAATTATCTCTGTGTACTGTTAAAATGAAGGGAGGGAAACAGGCGGAAGAAGTGGTCATGTTCTGAATCAAGGAATGGTCAGCCTATGCTCCTTCAGATATTGTTGGGCTACCATTCATATTACCCCAATCATGCTAATTTTGACTAGTGGTGTTTGGTGTCTCCTAACACCTGGACAGTCACAATGTGTCCATCTCATTCTAAACCAAGCAAGCAAGCAAACAAACAAACAAACAAGTTCCAGGGTAATTATTTATACATTCAAAATAAGAATGTGCCCCTGCTAGAATCTCCCAATAGAAGAATTACTATTGTTCACAGCAGAAGAAGTAGCACTTATAAATGACAAATGAACTGAAAGTTTCATAAATTTGCAGAGGCATATCAGTGTCTGTAGAAAGCATGGGTGTTCCTTATCATAGAGAAGCACTTGTATTGCTTCAAATAAGCAATGAGACACACTGATTTTGAAGAGTTACTCCTAAGCTGGAGGGCATTTCTAGGTCACATATATAGTAAGGTACTTGCTGCTGTGCTCTAGTTTTTCCTCTGTAGAAAAGTAAATATCTGATTTTTTTAAAAAATCATACTATTTACCCAGTTAGGATGTATTCAAATTTTTCTGCATGCAAAAATAAGATGGCATTTGTGTGTGTACACTTCAAATATTTAAATAAATACGTTAAACAACAATTAGAACATATTACTACTTTCAATTGTTTTGAAAGAATTGATTAAGAATAACAAATTTATATTAGTAGAAACAAAAAAAGTATGCAGTTGCTTTTGTACTTGTAAAAACCGAAGGTTTCAAAGATTTATAAGAATAATTAATTCATCATTTAACAACAAAGGATAAAGTATATCTGAAGATCATGAGATTATAAAGCAGGGTGTTCTGCACATTATCCATAAACAATGTCAACCGTTACATCTGAATCACCTTGGACAGGGATTCCAGAGTAGAACACATCGTTATTGATGTGGCTAAGAAGTGTATACTTAAAGCAGGGAACGGAGCTCTTTTTGAGCCAAAGTGATTCTGGTGATACATGACAGAGGAAACACATAGAGACAAATACATATCCCACATGCAGGTAAGCATCGGTTGGTGCCTACTGTGATTGGTTGAAAAAGCAACCAATATTGGGTGGAGCAAAACATAGCATTCTCTCTCTCTCTCTCATACACACATACGCACACGCACACACACCTTTTGCTTCCTGCAAGGAAGCAATCAAGAATGGCCTGGTAGGGGGAGCCTCAGATTGAGGTGGGACAGCACTCCATTTGTCTTAATGGACAAATCGCCATTAATAAAACTCCATTCACATTCTTTCTGTCTACCACACACTGATTCATTCACATATACACACTCCATTCACTCATGCACACACAGAGAAAATATGCATACATACACATCTCATTCACTTAGCTTGATGTGTTCATGACACACAGTTCATTCACTCTCACTCTCTCAACTCATTCATATATGCGCACGTTCATTCAACTGTGTATATTGCTAGTCCCATTTAGGGTAAACCCATTGAATCAATGCTGATTTGCCATTCAACAATTGATCCAGTATGTCTACTCTTAACAGAAACTCTCTCTCTCTTACACACACACACACGCACACACAGAGGGAGGGAGAGAGAGAGAGATCACTCAATGCAAACCTTTGTCTTCTGTGCTGGAAGGCTTCTTCTCTCCACCCCTACAGCACAGAAACAGTTACGTAGATTAGAGAAGAAGATCAAAATGACTCCCTCCCCCAGCTGGAGAGCCAATGTGATGAAGTGGATGGAGTACTGAACTAGAACTCAGGAGATCTAGATTCAAATTCCTTTTTGGTCCTTGGAACTCACTAGGGCTGGCGATGATAGATGTCTACCACTCCTTAAATGTCTCATGTACCTTATCAGGGACATCACAAGTTGGAAGTGACTTAACTTCAAAATTCCTGGCTTAAAAGATCTCACGACCCCCAAGCTGACATGTTAAATTTTCTCGACTCTCCTACCAATTGCACACATTCAACAATATCCCAGTAGAATACTTATACAGAGCTCTCTCTCTCTCCCTCTGACTGTATCTCTCTCTCTCTGGCACTTAGTGATGGAAGAGGGCAAACTTTAAAGCCAACCACTTTTAATTCCTTGTTAGTTCTCCACTATAGAGGCATTCAGGTGCTGCATCAATTTGCATTTGTATTTCTCTTTCTTCAGAACAAACAGAACCTGGATTTTAATAGGCCTAAGAGAAGGGAGTGGAGAGTACACTCTTCCATTTGCACAACAATGAATTCTTGGCTAAAAAGCTGTAATTTTTTTACCATTGGACACTCTGGCTAACCCTACAGTTTCCATCATACTTGCCTCTTACTATGGGGCTGATTAAAGTTCCTCAGAAAGTGTCAAGTGAAGTCTTGTAGGGAAGAATGTTTTCAAGTTAGGGGACCACAGCTAAGAAGGCTTTATCACAATTACTCAACCACCTCACTTCCAAAGGTGGGAGGAAGGGTTCAAAGATAGGCTCGCTTTGTTAGAATTATTGCAGTCTCAGAGGTTGTCTTTAAGATGTTTCAGTTGGAAGGGATCTTTCTGAATTGAGGTGAATGTCAATCAATCCAATATCAGTCAATTGTTGCCTCTTTGCCTCAGAATTTTGAAGACAGCCATGCCTTTCTATTCAAGAGTCCTTTTCCCACTCTTTTTAGGCAGAAGTGTCTGGCACAGCTATGTAGTCAGTCAGCAAGTCTGTTAAATCAGTCATGAAGCAAATTAGTCATGAAGCTAGTTGACCCATTAAGCTCTGTTCAAGTAACAATATTTTTCTACAAAATGTTGTTTGTTTTAATCTATTCACAAATATGAGCAAAACTGCACTTTTTATTTTTTTGTCTTACTACTGTATCTCTGAGTGAACTATTTAATTAATTTAAATAGTTAATTTGTATACCACCCATCAAGGCCACTCTGGGCAGTTCACAAGAGAAAATAAAACAAAAGTCAATAACAATAAATTAAAATAAAGTAACATCAAAGTGATATACAAAAGAAACACACACTAAACATAATAAATTAGAAACACAATAAACTTAAAAATATAGCACAAAACATAACATTTAATAAAAGCAATCAGGATGGGGGAATCTGTGACTTAGGGGTTGGTAACTACTCTATTGTTCTATAGGTATAACATTCTCAAAGGCCCATCTAAATAATCAGGTTTTCAGCAATTTTTTAAAAGATAGCCAGTGATTGGGCCAGGTGGATATCATGCAGGAGTTGATTCCATAGAGGTGGCACAACCACCAAGAAGATCTGATTTCTGATCTTTTTGTTCTGGACCTCTCTTGGGAATAATGCCCTCAACTGTCCCACCTGGGATGAATGAGTAGGACAAGCAGAACTCATTGGAAAAAGGCATACTGCCAGTTATTGAGGTCTCAAACCATTTAAGGCCTTGTATGTTAGTGTCATCCCCTTGAAGCTGGCACAGAAATTAAAAGATAACCAGTGTAAGGTAGTCAGAGAGTAGAAAAGTGATGGCATCTGTTTAATTCAGTCAGTAGTCTAGCCACTGTATTCTGGACCTGCTGCAGGTTTCCATATTAGCTTCATAGGTAGCCACACGTAGAGAGCATTACATTAATCTTTTCTTGAGGCTACCAATGAATGGACCAGTGTGGTGAGGGATCCAGTGTTGAGGTAGGATGGAAATAGTGGACTGGACCACAGATGCTATCTGGGTGTCCATTGACAGTTCTGGGTCCAGCAGTACATTCAAACTGTGCACCTCATCCTTAGAGAAGAGAGTTTTGTTTGTTCAGTCATTTAGTCGTGTCCGACTCTTCGTGACCCCATGGACCAGAGCACGCCAGGCCCTCCTATCCTCCACCAACTCCCGGAGTTGTGTCAAATTCGTGTTGGTTGCTTCGATGACACTGTCCAACCATCTCATCCTCGGTCGTCCCTTTCTCCTCTTGCCTTCACACTTTCCCAACATCAAAGTCTTTTCCAAGGAGTCTTCTCTTCTCATGAGATGGCCAAAGTACTGGAGCCTCAGCTTCAGGATCTGTCCTTCCAATGAGCACTCGGGGTTGATTTCCTTTAGAATTGATAGGTTTGTTCTCTTTGCAGTCCAGGGAACTCTCAAGAGTCTCCTCCAGCACCACAATTCAAAGGCATCAATTCTTCGGCGGTCAGCTTTCTTTATGGTCCAGCTCTCACTTCCATACAACACTACAGGAAAAACCATAGCTTTGACTATTCGGACTTTTGTTGGCAAGGTGATGTCTCTGCTTTTTAAGATGCTGTCAAGG